CATAAGAGGGGGGCTTATAAGCGGCAGTTTATGGTATTCATGAATCATCATGTACATCTTTAAGTAACTTTTCACTCAACACACACCAATTTTTGCCCTCATCATGTGCTACACACAAATTACAATTAATCAAGATTCAACTTAAGTTTAAAAACAATTGTGGGGACGGTTTTACAGCCACCTTAAATTTTAAAAAAAAATTAGAGTGGCTCTGAACCCCTTCCATACTTAATGATTCTTCCAAGTTTGCAAAAAGTTTTATTAAAACAATTTGATATTAAATGAAGCCACTGGACTCGTTTTTGAGTTATGAGCAGTGAAAGCTAAAATTAGGGGGTGTTGCTATGGTAATATTTTCCTTCACAAAAATGGCCATGATTGGGTATCCACTTGGTACCACTATTATGGCAACAACTGAAAAATACTGGTAGCATTGATAAATCAAAGAAGAATTGTTGAAAAATACATGAAACCCATGGGTCAATTGATACCTACGGTCAGTTCAACTCCAAACGTAGTACCAGGACGAAACGGTAATTCACCCTTGAACCGTACGACACCAGGTAAATCCTTTGCCATTCCTTTCACAGAAAGAAACACCTGATTTCCTGGTGAAAGTCGACGCCCAAAATCCAGAGATTTTCTGTCGATAAACGTTTGATATCTCGATTCAGCGGAAGATATCGCCAAAAGCAAGTTCGCTTCTTCGTCCGAAAGCCGAGTTAAATCCGCCATGCGACATTCAAGACGCAATGATGTACGATTGATTCCAACAAGGGCTATTTTATTTACATCTGAAGGTTGTTCAGCTTCAGTAATAGCTTCCAATAACTCCCCTCGTAGAGCTGGAGTTGGTGTTGCCTTCATGGAAGGACCAAGCGCCAAAAGATTTCTCTCAAGTGTTTCACCCACACGATCAACAAGAAGAATATATTTGTTCTTGGGTTCTTCCATACCGTTTGCAGACTAAGTAGCAGCTACTTCGTATTCTCTGCAGCAGAATAACTTGTAAACATGAACATTAACCACGACACTCTACCTTCCATTTTCAAAGGACTTTCCCAATCGCCTCGTTTCCATGCACAATTCCGGGAAGTGTTTTCAAGGAGAATACTAAATAACAGGCAGTCGAAAACTGCTTGTGGATGCCGGTAGTTTTGTAGGGAGATTGAAGGAATTTATTAAAACACTGTAAGTGCAAGATTACCTAAAAGAGCAGTACACCTTCGACAGCAGATAGGAGATAATAAACTTATGCAAGAGACAACAAGTTTTGGCATTATACCTTTAAGACAAAATGCCCCTGTCCCCCCCCCCCCCCC